AAATGCGACGATAATAGAACGAATTCGAATATAATATTAAATGAATAAGAGAATCGTACGATACGGTTTTTCACGTGAATAATATTCGATAAAACGAAGCTAAATCGACTAATGTCGATTTTCCTTCGATGTAGAGTGTCGTCTGTAATCCGCTTGCGTGTGTGGTCCACGGTGTTGTGGTCGCAGGAAACCGGTCACGGCACCAAATATTAGACTAAACCTGGTTCCTATGTGTATGTGCAAGCATGACTAAACACTCCACTCTGTTTAAGGATATATTTGAATGAATAGCATGAATAAAAACACAATCATATATATAAAAGAGAATCTACTAACAACGAGAGAGAGTGATTAAAAATAGAAAGAAGACCAACTACTGACAGACAGTGATAACAAGGGTCTAGCGTTAGTGGCGAAATCGAGAGAGAGAGAGCCGCTAACAATGATGGTATAAATAATTCGAAAACAGCGACTAATGCGTTAGCAAAAGTAGCGACAATCGCTAAGTTTAGTCACAAGAGTTCAATATTTGCTGATCGTTTGGAGAATATCAAACAGTCTATACCCACAGCAAATGAAACAAGATTGAATTTATAATTTTACATATTGAAAGCTGTTTACAAAATTCCTAACAGTAGATTAAATATGATTTTGGAGATTTAGAAAAACCTGAATTAATTCTCTCTTCAACCGATAAAACAATATTAATGGAATTTATACAACTATTAGGATTATTTGAAGAAGCAACAATGGATGCACAAGGTGAAAATCATGCTACTATTAGTTGTGTAGCACCTTATATCCTCTCAATTGTTCATTCATTGAATAGCAAAACATGTGATCATTTGGAAAATATGAGAGCAAGCCTATTATCAGCTATGAAAGCAAGATTCAGTGGTCTACTAATACACTTTGCTATTGGTGTCCCGAATGATCGATATGTGATGACTGAATGTTTTGCTGATTCAATATTTCTTCTAACATCAACCCTAGATGTTGGATTCAAATTTAACTGACTGAATGATATTAGTTTATCGGATGATATTAAAAGAAACACTCGTACTCATACTCGACGCCCAGTACTCGTACTCGAGAATCTGCGTACTCGCCCATCAACACCGCTGGTGGTGGCGGTGGCAGCAGGGGCTATTGACGTCACGAAGTATGGTAAAAGAGCTATTTACACCACCGGATTGTGGCACTAAGAGCTATCGCTACCTACGGGAAGTAGTAGGAAGAGCTAATGACACCACTAAAGGTAATGACTATCTAAACGTAGCAAAGGTGGCACGAACGGCCATGTGCACGTAGTGCAGATGCACAGTGGGCATTTTCCCATAGAGCAGGCGGACATCTGATTTTTTGAGTTAGAAAATGATTATTTTAGCATAATATGGTCTTACTATGTGTCAGATATTAGCAGAAGTAAAATAGGTCGAATTTGAAAAAATCTATTTTCGACAACAAGTTCCTTGCCTTGAATTTTTGTCAAAAAATGTTTTATTTGTAAAACTAACAAACTATAAATCATTCGACGTAGTTTTTCACGATGATTCCGAATATGACTTTATGTTATGGAAAAAGTGCTCTTTTAGGGGAGAAAAACGCGAATTACCTCGAAAGCCCTATGGGTTTTTGTAAGATCAATAACTCGACTTAGAAAAAAAGACGAGATCATCATAAATAATACACGATAGACTGAGGAGCATTTTCATGTAATTAGAAGGTCTGTTCAGGCTTAGCGCTTTTTAGCGCTGTCACTGCACTGAGGTTGTCTCATGTCGGACCGTAGTAATCTAGACTACTAGACATTTTTTCGTTTCGCACATGATGCAAAAGGAGTACCTTCTATTATCAAGAGATACAATAGGTTGTGCTGATTCCGTTGCTTTGGATAGGGTAATATTGCACGTCTGTACATAGAAATAAGAATCTTTGCAGATATGTCATATTCGACAGTGTTTTTTGTGAATGTTCGTAAGTTAACTTACTCATCGAAGGAGTCCATTACTAGTCGATCATTATACACCATTCAACAGCACTTTTCAAGGATTACATTTACTACTGTTCGAATTCCAAAAACCTCACTTGTCATTTTTTGCTCAAATTTCCGCCTGAATGCCTTGACACATAAAAAGATGAGTTCTTAATTCCTTGTGGTTTGGTCACGAGTTGGTCAAAACGGGACGGAACAAACTGTATGTCACAAGCCACTGCACGTCACTAAAATGTCAATTACTCA